ATTTACCCAATTGAGTTTAACAGAATGATACTTCAAACACGTGAAAACTTGAAACATATGAATTTAATACCATACAACGGTCCACCTTTAGAATTCAGGCGTCCGTTCCACAAAATCATCGCAGTGCTAAGGTTATCGCAACTAACATGCTTTAACTTAGACTAACGACTGTCATTGCGCTACAATACGATCGCCTTGTGGAACGGGGCCTTGCACCTCAAAGTTTACAATCATGTCACAATACCCAATGACGTAATACTGTGGAATTTTGTTGCAAGAACCATTGGCGAAACAATGCCATGTGACGTCAGCCTAGCAACAAGGTTGCTGGGGTAATCGAGTGTGCATAAGCTCCTCTCAGTGATCTATCATCTCCACACACAATGTCGTTGAATAAGCCAAGGGATGTTGAGAGCTTTCAATATTTGTTCGTGAAGCGTGTTCCGAGAGTACATAAGCACGTTTTGGTATTACACAGTGTGTAGTACAGCTGTATGTTTATTAAACAGGTGATCTCTTCATGGGCAAATAATAAAGTATATTAATTATGTCCAGGAAAAACTGCATCAGACAAATAGAGTGAGTGAGAGCAAAGTAATTTCCCCATGAGACAGCAATATTACAGATATATCAAGTCTCCACCACTCCCAGCGGTTGGTACTGTAAGGAACCATAAAAGCAATATAAAAGTACAAGCACACACAATCAGCTTCAAGCCAAGGCCATTTTGACCACACAATCCTCATATTTGTAGTTTCATAGGAGATAACTATGCTTCCCTGAATCCCAACGAGGGAGATACGTGGGGCTCGAAGATTGAAATGTTTTTAGCATAGACTGTTCCAAAAGCCTATCTTCAGATACTTAGCCGGAGCATCATGTGTTTTTTATTACATCTAATACCATAACACAAAGTGCATCCAGTTATCACACTGCAGCCACCTCATCAGTGCAGGGGGTGATAACGCACTATATAAATACAGGGTAAAACTTCAAAAATGTTTTTGAAAAGGCATAAAATTAAACTAATGGTACCCAAATGAGGATTTTCAACTGAATGTTTGTTAGCTTGATTTCTTTCAAATATTCCAGAACTTTTCACAGAGATTACGCAGCTGGGTATAACTGACAGGTTGCCAAAAGGAATGCGAACATTTTCTTTGTATTATCTTTCTTCAGCAGCATACTGGACATGTTAGAGCAGCCAGACAGGGGGGTCGTCCTTGGCATGATAAAGTCTGCCAAATGAACATATCTGGCAGTGCAGCAACATACTTAGACTAACATTTAGTCTCGGACACAATATCGTTCTTGATTCTAAAAATAATTAAAAAACATTTTCCCTAAGCTGATAGCTAGCTAGAGCTGGCTAGACTTGCTTTTGTATGTGTTTCTAGATTGTTTTTTTTTTCATGAAATAAATATATTCCACAGTCATGGTGCAGGACTACAACATACTGAACACACCAGGGACAAATTTACATTGACTTAGCATTTGCCAGTGGTGGGGTAGCCTTGTGGTTAAAGCTTGTCATGCCAAAAGCCTGTGTTCAATTCTCCATAGCACTGGTTCTGAGTGAAATCAGTCTAATTTGTATGCCAGGGTACAGTCGACCAATCAAATGAGTCATATCATGAAAGCGAGATGGCATTCACTAAATGCATTATATCTTAGAAAGACTTCCAAACAAGGCACACATTTCATTGAATCAAAATGACAAGCATCATTTAACATTTGCAGACATCTTTCACATGCGTCAGTTTCATTCAAAATAAGCGGGAAACTTATTCTGGAGCCAACTGTTCCGTTTGGACAGCAGCACCTTGCACTGTAGATCTTCTGAATGTTTTGATGTCAAGAAAACGATTAATCAGATATGAAACGGTTTCAGATGAGTAACCAGTTCCAAGATTCTTCAAACTGTGACATTTAACTGTCCCTAACAGTAAACCCTACTCTTGCTAATCCACACTTCTGGACGATCACTTTTCTTATTGTCCTGAACGATCATTACCATGTATTTATGATTCATTAACCACGACATCTTGACTTAATTGGGATGATTTCATTAGGAACTGTACGGATTAACTGTAGTAACAAGAGTGAGTGAGTCTATGGTTTTACACCACTTTTAGCAATGTCCCTGCAATATCACGGCGGGGGAACACCAGAAATGGGCTTCACACATTGTACCCATGTTGTAGTAACAAGATCCTACATTCCAGCAAAATTTTGTTTGGTCTCAGTTGATAATAGCCCATATTATGATACCAAGCTCAACTAAAAATGAAACTAAGAGTCAAGTTCAGACACATAGACTCACAAGTTTTTGGCACAAACTGTATACTGTCAACACAGAACGTGTTGCAAGGTTTGAACAAGGATGATGAAAGCAATACCTGCTGCCTATTCCATCTGGTCAAGAAATGTCATAGCTACTACCATAAGAATTTGCCCCAAACAAATGAATACCAGCACTTGTTGACAGGCCACTCTTCGGAGAATGTTAATTGCAGCTAAATCTGCCTAATGATAGCATTACATGATGATAATTGGTGTTCACTTTTCACATCAAGCGAATGACTGCAGGGGGAGCCTGCTGTGTTTATCAGTTTAACAAACACATCTGATAACACTTAGTTACATCCTGCTGTTTGGCTTACAGATTCTGTTTGTTCTCCTGTTTTTCTAAAACACTTTACAATTTATAATGCTCACCCAAGAAACATGCACGGAATGCTCAGTGATTCATATGACATAAATGACAAAATACCTACACTGCTTTGTCAAGTGGGATCACACAGTTGTTTGTTTCTTTGTTTGTTATTTATTGCAGCACTCAGCCATATTCCAGCTGTATGATGGTCTGTAAATAATCGAGACTGGACCAGATAATCCAGTGACTGACATCATAAGCATCGATCCACGCAATTGGGATACGATGACATGCATCAACCAAGTCAGCAAGTCTGACCACCTGATTCCTTAAGTTGCCACTTACGACAATCACTGAATTTTCTGGTCCAAATTTGAATATTTACAGACCGCCGTCATATAGCTGGAATATTGCTGAGTACAGCATTAAACAACAAACAAACAAACACACAAATCCATGGTCCTAGCTGCCTGTGACAAAGGGACGTCTATTCACTAGCCCAACAATACATGTCTGAAATACAATTTACTCGACTCAGGCTTTAGACAAATGGCTGAATTGCACTGTACTGCACAGGTATCATAATGTGTAACAGTATTTACACCAGGACTGTGACATCTCAGTGTACAATACTATATCTACTATATCTCACAAAGGTCAGGGAGCCAGACCGGTGATCTTGGCATCCGTACAGGGCTTGGAAGTTATATAACTGCTACAACTCTAATTAAACCCACAGAGGTAAATGATCAGGTAATGCAAACCAGACAACAGACCAGCCACATTAAACTCCTGCGATGACGTCTGCTCCACCCCTGCGACGTCAGCTTCATTGTTGTCATGCAGTCACAGCAAGATACTCACATATTGAGTGAGGCTAATTTCTACTCAGACAACATTATTACGATATTTACCTTCATGCAACCTTCTGAAGACTTGGATTACACTCTGGCAATATGTCAGAATCAATATACTCCACATATTTCTCCACACAACCACCGTACTACGATCTTTGAAGTAATTGTGATATGACTCTGTCTGACCTTCCGATTCTTTCAGGAAAGAGTTACACAAATTGTGATACAGTAATTATATTCCATATCTCCAGTCAGGCCCAAATTATCTCTGGATCAGCACGTCTTTATGGTATTTTCCATTTCGTAAGCCACAACTGGGACTAGGCAGAATTTACATACCATATTTGCTGTAATAGGTGCCCTGGCTCTTAGAAAATTGACAAAGGAGGATGTTTATTTCAACCATACACAAGTTAAATATGTTCTCAGAGATCAAACAATAAACGTTCATGAATTTATTATGTTTTCAAATAATAGTTACTTGGCAATTATATACCCCTTCTTGACTGCTGTGCTTTTTAATAAAGGATCTGTAATATACACAAGAAAATACGGACTGTAATATAAATTTTTGTGCTTAACATGGTGCGCTTATAAGGGTCACTTACAAGCAAGGTAGACGTTTGTCAGGGGGCACTTAATACATTGAATACAGTATGTACACTGATGCACTTTCCAATACACTTACTGTTCTGTTGTTAAGAGAAAACATTATCAGAATGCCGTCTTGAGCAAGGGGTCCACGCAAAGGGCTTACTAGGGGGTTAACTGAATGATTGGACCACAATTTCAGTGATTCTCTAAGGCAACAACAATACTCTTGTGGTAACATGACTTTCAAACTTGAGTTAATCTGCAGGAAACTTAGATCATAAATTGTTCTGGGGGTTGTTTTTTAAGTGAAACAGACTACCAGATGAAAGTAATATTTGCCAAGTGCATGATATAAATAATCCATATACAGCATGGTTTGCTTCAGAGAAAAGGGGTAATTGAACAAATCCATTTGTAAAATGACTCATTTCTTCATTGTTTCTCCACATCTAACTTTGCAATTTTAGCAAAAAGGACATTGAAGTGATTGCCTTTCAATATCCAAGGTCAAATCTACCACTGGCCTGGTAGCCCACAAGTTTGACTTAAGTTAAAGCCATGTTTTTTATCAGCCAGAAAATTCTTGATTTTCAACACCTCTCTTCTTACCTCTTAAAAATATTGGATTAACTGTGAATACTCAAACACATCAAAAGTTAATAACCCATTTTATTTATGACTTAGTTTTTTTCCTCAACTATTACAAAACAGGTTGGAACTTGGCAAGGGAGGATAAGTGAGTGAATTTTATTCTAGACATATCTCTTTTGGTGACACGAGAAATGGTCTTCACACATTGTACCTTTTTTGGCAACGAACCCAGTCATTGGTGTGATAAGCCAACCCTTCAACATGCAGGAAGAAAGAACTCCAAACTGTCGGCCATTCTTACCTTTTGGGCAGCTCGGAGGACTTTATCAAGGAAGCGTAGCCACTCAAAGACAAAGACAGGCCTCTTGGACTCAGGTATCCGTTTGAGAGCCTCCTCATTCAGGAGAAGGCTGTGGGCTAACTCCATCGTGGGGCAGCCCCTACGTCTGCTCGCTCACTACTCCAAAATCAGATCTGTAAGAAAACAAACAGAAGACACATTTAAATACTAACAAAATGCTTGATGAATATTGTACTTTTTATCGATAGCCATAGATCTCAGCCTTGCAAACCTTTTCTCAATATCTTGCATGCATTTCAAAGATGGATATCTGTCAACATTGCAAACCGATCAGCATCAATCTTCCCATGACAAGTAAAACTTCTTTCAGTCTTGCTCAGCAAGCACATAGAATAATAATCCATTCATTCAGACTACACCCTGCTGGGAAGGATGTCATGAGACAGCAGAATGAAAAGATTGGCATTGACTGTGGTGACCTCAACCAGTCTATTAAATGTCTGCATTCCTTTCAATTTGATAATGGTCAGTATGTTAAAATTTTAATGACACCAAAAGACACCCAAAAAAATAATTAAAAGCCAGATGGCTCAAACAAATTTGAAAAAAATCGGCTAACAATCTGGAGGCAAAGATGTTCTTGATGAAAACAAGTTTTCCATTTGGTATTCTGAACTGAAAGTCTTGCTGCACCAACAAGAGCACTGCACACTGCTGCAAGCAGATCCTGCTTATATACCCAAACTACCAAAATAGTTTACAAGACTCAAGCTACTGGGTCTAAAAACGCTAAGTCACAGACTGTCATGACGTCTGTTCCACTTTATCTAATACTTCACTGACCTGTGACAAACAATACATGCTACTTAAGGTAAATTTATACAGCCTTCTTTAAAATTATCTTCACGGCAATGTTCTGAGTTTTTAAAAAGGTTTACTCCTTGCTAATACAAAAGTTCATTAAGATAACTGATACAGTTTACAAAACATCTGGATTTTCTTTAAATGCATCAAGAAGAAGAAGTTCATGGTGCTGGGCTGATAGACGGTTATTCTTCATGACACTGTTTATCAACAACATCTTATGTATGATCACGGCAAACAAGAAACAATAAATACAGTCATCAATGGACAATCAACCGTAACATATGTTTTCGATCATAACTTATGTTATCTCTACAACAGCACCTTGGCAAGCTTCTTTCTACTTTTACTGAATAACGTGCATGAATGAGTGAGTATGGTTTTATTACGGCGGGGGATACCAGAAATGGGCTTTGCACATTGTACCCATGTGGGGAATCGAACCCAGGACTTCGTTGTGATGAGCAAATGCTTTAACCACTAGGCTACCCCACCACCCCTGAACAACGTGGAGACAGGGTTCACTGATGGACTTCAACCAATATATCCTTTCAAATCGACATTTCAGTACCTTTACCAAGCAGGTACCTTTATCGCTTGATACTCACACATGTACCTAAATATTGCACTGAAAGAATAAAACCGCTGAAACCTCTAAGCATGCTAAGTCAATCCTGTGTTCATTCGAACTACAGCTTCCAAATGACATGAAGATGAAGTTCAAGATATTCAGCACGAAGTCCTTGTCTAACACTTTCGTCGATTTAATTAATTAAAACCAAAAACTCTTCTCTACCATATATAATTGTCATGGGCATGTAACCTGAAACACAAGTATAAGGCAAGCCAACAGGAGAATTTATCTTTATAGATTACAGATTAGCAGCGTCATGACAGGATGCATGGTTCATAACTACTTTTGAGATTATCAGACATATCAATCCACCCACACTTCTTTTACACCAGGCCTTGCTCATACTCTTATATCATCAGACACTATGTATTATTATGGAATCAAATATGGCTTCCTACAAAATCTAATCCTGTTTTTCTTATGAAACCTGAAGCTGTCGCGGAACTGTTCCCGCATTCTCTGTCACAACATTGACAAATTAGATCTACTACATCATGCTGGGTCTGGTCGTGTGTTTACCTTTACAGTAAAACATCACAGATTTTCCTTGAGGAAAGATAAACAGAGAATAATCTGATTAATTGCAAGGATTTCAGCAAAGTCGTAACTCTGCATTTCTGAAGTGATTACCATGATCACAAACAGATAGTTTCACTTCATCCTGCCATAAAAGATAACAATCATGGGACATTCCATTTAAACACCTCACATCAGAGACGATAGATAATAACTCATAGATCCATGTACATACAAATCTTCCAAAAATGAAATATGCATACTGTTTTTACAGTGGATGTTGAGACACTGATGTAAAAATCCTGATGATTCCCATCTTAAACCTGATACCAACATAAGATGAAGATAGACTCTAGGATGCAAGCATTTTCACGATGTTCCATCAAAGCTGAATGGGAAACAGTCCTCTCTTGAGTGTCTTTAGAGTCTCAGACAGTGGGACGGGCACAGTGTTGGAGAATGTTTAGCATTCCTGAGTGGTGCAACACACTATAACACAGGAGAAGGGAGTAGTCTGCCCAGGAGACTGTGTATAACTTCACTTAAAACAATACACCACTTGTAAGAATGAACGAGACACAACCAACACATTCTTCAACTACAACGTACCATAACCATCACGTTTGGCTGTACATCACGATCCTTGTTCTTGCGTCTGCTACATCAAAAGCAGACGGCACTGTAACTCTCTCAGGTATGGCGCCCTTCCGGCATCATAACTCTGATATATTTAGTCTGTTAACATGAGTACCTGCAGGAGTTACCTGCCTTAGTCAGGAAAGCATGGACTGGCTGAAGCTGGTATGCAACAGTCTTGATGACTTCATCACCAGAAAGCTCTGATAATAGCATACTGGTCAGGGAGCATCATAACTGATGTAGCTAAATGTATAATTAGCTGACATGGTTCTGTGTCACAGTGTACTGTTTACTTTGTAATTTATCACTTCCTGCTTTCGGAGTAGTCAATTTAGCTAGATCCTAAAACCCAAGTGCTCCTCTATTCACAAACCAGATGGTTCAAGTGGTCCAGTAAATAACCAATTCTATCTTTTACGTTTGAGTCGACCTCTGAGACACATTAACACACCTACAGAGAGAACCTTAAAGATTCTGTTGCTCTGCTAGAACGAACAGTCTCCATTGTTATATTAGCACAGCTACTCCTGGTACCATCCATTTCATAGCATTTTCGTCTCAGCAACATCAGCACATCATAGAAGTACATAATGTACATGCTTGCATACTACAGATTTTCTCAGATTTTAAATAATAACCATAAAATCATACAAGATTGCTTTGGACGAGATGCAAGTGCCTAACATTTTCTATTACATATTTGCAAAACAAGTAAATGTCACATTATGATTGCCACTAATGTGTTTTTATTGGCATTCCGTGGCATAAGATACTAAGATTAAATTTGTTATTTATTTTATTTTGCATTTACATTGCTACAATTATAATAGGTGCATCCGCTATCGAACATCTGATACACAACAATCTCCTAAAGGGTGTCGGTATTGACAGAGTGAGTAAATGAGTGAGTGAATGAGTGAGTATGGTTTTACAAAACTTTCAGCAATACTCAAGCAACATCATGGCAGGGGACACCAGCAATGGGCTTTTCTCATAGTACCTATTGTGGGAATCAAACACAGGCAATTGACATGACAAGTGAACACCTCAAGAACTAGCTTACCCCACCTGACACGTGTCCTTAATGAGCTTCAGCATCAGCTCTTGGTTTGTTGGTCAGATCTGGAGAGTCAAACCCAGGCAACTGACATGACAAGTGAACACCTCAAGAACTAGCTTACCCCACCTGACACGTGTCCTTAATGAGCTTCAGCATCAGCTCTTGGTTTGTTGGTCAGATCTGGAGAGTCAAACCCAGGCAACTGACATGACAAGTGAACACCTCAAGAACTAGCTTACCCCACCACCCTGTGTCCTTAATAAGCTTCACCATCAGCTTGTTTTTTAGTCAGTTCTGGAGACATTTTGCAGGTCTCCTTAAAAATGCAAACATATTTATGAAGAAATAAGTCAATTATTTGACATAAGAGATGTCCAAAATGGGGATTAGATGTCAAGACTTGGTGATTGAGTGACTGTAGCCTGAGAGCGTGAGAGGTTTCTCATAACATCAATCACTGGTTTGTCCAGCGCAGACTGTGACTTAAACAACTCACTGTGTGTGCATACAACTAGACCATGTAGACTGCTTGATGCATATGGTGCACTACTCCATTATCCAGAGTAACAAACTAGAACAAGGATGAATTATTCATGTCAACACTCCTGGGAGTTGGGAGGTTGCTGTTTAGAAAACTTAATCTTGTAACAGCAGTTTGGCAGCCATGTTTGTTTTATCAGTGTTTATAAAACAAGGACATAAACACAATGTTTCATGCCAAATATACATGCAAGATTCACGATTGGTCACATATTTTGTTGACATGTCCTCCAAGCAAATGGCACCATTCAGAAACACATCACAAAGCTTTTTGCAACAAAGTTCTAAAGTAGATGTTCTTGATAACCTTCCATATGGAATATTGCTAGCTGGGGAACCTTGCCAGAAGTGCGATAAACTAGACTCTCATTAACCGACTAACCTGCATGGGTATGTGACATTTAATCCCTGGATCATGTCTTAAAATGTAATCCACATATTTTCAACATGAAAGAAGGTCCTTGTGACTTCACATATGTTCCATGCATGGATACCGAATAAACAACATTTCTAGAAATGAGCAAGTTGGTTTTAGCATCACGCTGAACAGATTTTCGTGAGGTCATTATGATCATGGTGTGTCAGCTTAAAATGGGAAGATAGCCCCAATTGATGCACATAGTTTTGTTTGTTTGTTTGTTTGTTTGTTGTTTAACACCGCACTCAGCAATATTTGAGCTATAAGACGGCGGTCTGTCAATAATCGAGTCTGGACCAGACAATCCGGTGATTGACATCATGAGCATCGATCCGCACAATTCGGATACGATGACATGTATCAACCATATCAAGTCTGAACCCATTCCCGTTAGTCACCTCTTACGATAAGCATAGTCGCCTTTTATGGCAAGCATGGGTTGCTGAAGACCTATTCTACTCTGGATCTTCACGGGTTGATGCACAGAGTAAACGTTTACCAC